AAAGGAGAGATGATAGGGGATTACTATGAGACACTGAAAAGTAAAGAGATTAACACCATCTGATTTAATCCTCACAGGATTCCCATGTTTGGCTCTTTGGAGGAGCATAATAACTTGCAATAATAAATCATTTCATTAGGTATTTATGACCATACACCCAACCCAAAGATGGAGATGGATTTTTCAGGACTGAGCAATGCTTTAGTGACCACAGAGAAAGCTGCTTTCTCTGAAATTATATGTTTATAATGACACATTGACCAATTCTGCTTGTTTTGATGGGCGATTGAATGTCTTCTTTGCATTTTGCTTACAGCATGGATTTACTTAGCTGGTATGGTCATCATCTATTACCACAAACCTTAATGTTTTTGGGGGTTTTTTTGGTTGAGGACTAGCTGGTGATATAGTGTGTGGTCAGGTCATATGTTCATCTTCATAAAAAACTGAAGTCAGGCTTGATTTTATTTTATTCTAGGACATCACAAGTGGAGCTTTTCATTTTCAACCACTATTTTTAGTTGAGTGGGGCATTAATCAAAACAAGATGTGCAGTTAACCACCCATAGGAAAAAATATGATGGTTCTTATAATTATGAATTCAATAGTTGGATTGCATAGACCATACTAAAAACCATAGTCTGTTTCAAGAGAGCGGAAAGAGAGTGTAAAGCAGTACCTACTGTATGCATGGCAAGCATCAGGATTCATCAAATCATATTAAAGCGTGCACCTTGTGATAAGCCCCTTCAGGCAATTGTTGCCAATCCCGTCTGTTGTCCTTATGTGTATCTCTGGATCATTTTCAGCTTGGGACCATCATCTGCACAAACAGCTAAAAGTAATGATTGCTCACATAGCGTTTGTTTTCAGCATATGGTTTCAATGTTATTTTCAAGAACAAATGATCGACAAACCTATGAGACAAAACTTCTCTGTAGCAACAAGAGGTTTAAGATAATATCCATTGAGTCAAGCTACACTTTAGACATCATTGTGAATTCTGAGTTCATTCTGATGTTACTGTATGTTCCCCTTGTTCCCTGAATGAAGACTCCCATAAATGAAGGTACTTCACCTCACTCCACGGCCAAAAATGTACTGTGAGCTTGAACAACTGTGACAGCCAGCCCTTTTCACAGAGCAGAATGAAACCTTTATTTAAGGTTTTAATTTCTTATTTGAGTCAGATGGGCAGTAAAGATGATAAACCAAACAATGCAGGGTTTTTAAGACTGTCCGGGCACAAGGTGTCTCAAAGTGTATTTGTTATTGTGCCATATGTGTAATTTGTTTAGCTTTTTTCATACTTCATATGATATTGTGCTCTACTTGAACAGCAAGAAATAAAGAAAAGTGTAAATGTGTCAAAATTAAAGGAGGGGATGTACTGTTTAGTCTGTAAAGCCTAATCGATGTGAGAGTGGAAATACCTTGAAGACATAAGAAACTTAATAATGGTCTATGTGTAAAACCCTGCCTGCCAGAATGGACAGGAAGCATTTACTGACACACATAGCAGACAAGTCTAACCCAACTGACATTTAAACACAAAAAAGTGATCATTATGTCATCTTTGGGAGTAACAGTACATATGTGCTTAGTTTAGGCGAAAGTGGAATATATCCAGAGGAACAAAAGACATGTATTTGTTCCACTACTCTGCACTCCCAGTAACTACAAAAGCTGTTGACAGTGTGCGTAACAGAGTGGGACAGAGGTGTGCTTCATGATGTGAGGTGAGAGGACACTGTGCTCTGGAAAGTTTTATCCAAAGAAACAAGAGCCTTGTCAGAGCTATCCATCTGATTATGTGAAAGAGTACACATGCCCAGAAAATGCACAAATCCTATAGAGTTTAATTTAAATGTATTAGAAATGTTAAAAAATACAATAATGTATAAATATCTGTGGATTTATGTTTTTAATCTCCAGAGCACCACCTACAGTCTCAGCGAGGTTAGGTCATTTACATTTTCCATTTAGGATGATAAAGGGAGCTCTCTTTGGTGAACCACTTGCTGGAGGGAAATTTACTGTTTTGTTTCATTTTATCCTGTTCCTTGACTGTTGAACTGAATAAATGGGAAGACAATGAAAGCTATTAAGAGAAGTCAACAAATGAGAAGGCTACTGCAGTGACTGTAAACAACAGGTCACATTCAAAGGAAGTATCTGAAGGGCAGGGGTTTCTTTCACTTCCAAGAGGATTTTGGCCACAACTTAGTAGCTTTTGCTGCTCTGCCTAAATCCATCATGGGTCAGTAGTGCCATCTCGTGAGGAACACTCCATGTAAGACGTCCATATAAGACCCTTGTGCCGTGTTGGATTTGGTTAAAATCCAACCAGGCACAATGGCTAAAAATGGCCTAATCTTTGAGAGACGGAGAGATTATTCTATGTTATTATTACTCTTTTTTTAACTTATTTTCCTTTCCACTAAAATATGTTTTAACATTTGGTTATGAAGACGAGAAATGGACTGCAATGTATATTTAGAAGCTATGCATCAACATCCTCAAGATGGGAATTAAATATGGTGTCCAAATAACATCATGCATGAAATCAAATCCATAATCTTTATAGGAAATAAATGCTTCTATTTCTACCTAAAAGTGAACCTTTATTGTTAAGATACTTTTTGTTCAAAGTCTGACTTAAAAAGTCACCCCTTTCTGGACTTTTGAGACGACAAACTGATTTGTCATGATACACACTAGCCCCATCTTTCTTTGGAGCTCAACATCTACTTTACCAGTGACATGAATAGACACCATGGTACACTTCAGCTGAGTACACCCTGCTCTAATCGGATTGGGCAACACACTGCAACATCTCTAATTTGAAGACTTTACTAATAAGAGTAAATTCTGTTAGGGTGGCACCCGTGACAAACTGAAATTACCCAAAAACAGACTCATGATTTGTAGAGCCCAAGAAGACAGCAATTACCGTCAAGCTTTTATTTCTCTGTCTAAATTGTAATCAGTTCATCCTCAGTGCAGTGACAGACGTGCTCTCTTGATGGTCATCACTGGATCATTTACTCAAAACCATCACAGAGGTTCCCTTCAATGGTAATTCTTTTTTAAAAGCCTTTCGGTTTTATGTTTTGGCCAGATTTTCATCAGGTAGAAGGGCTGAGACAGGCCTCTATATCAGCAAAGTCTTAACTTTGCCACTCAGCATTTATGAGTTCAGGTTGCTTCTGCTGACCTCAGGAGGAAAACCCTTAATTAGTGAAGGTTTGGGCAGAAGACAAAAGATTATCAATAATATTCAAAATTCCCCACAATCTTTTTTATAACAGAGTCGCACGTTTTGATTAAATGCTTCAACCATCTCCATCCAACCATTCCGACTATGTATTTCATTAGCGTCTCTTACTTCTGGGTGACTAATATGCATAAAATGCTTCGCTTCATATGACTGTAATCATGGAATGTCACATTCAATATTTCATTTGAAATGCAATTGGAGTAAAGAAAATAATGTCACTGCACAAAGCCAATCAAGCCATTTTAACAGTATCCATGGAATCCTTTTGACAAATACACAGAACAAAGTGCTCATTTTGCTCAATCAGACCTATCTCAAACTTACACTGTAACAAAACACACATCAGAGGTGGGTTTTTGTTTTTTTTAAAACAGGACTGGTTCAGATTCGGATGGCAGAAATCAACAACCTTTTGCATCCTCCATTGCTCTTCTCTCTTCATACAATGTCAGCACTGAAAACCATCAAACAGATTTGACATCTTTTTTTTTTTTTAATTATTCCTGGAAAAACACATTGTTCCATTCCTCATGGTGGACAAATTGTGCTCATTGACTTCCTTAATTTGTCTTACACGTATCTGAGCTGTTGCGCGGTCTCACACATTGAGCCGGATAATGACCTACATAGCTGCAGCCTCCCGCACGCTCCAGCCAGGAACAAACCTGCAAGGGTGGCTGGGAGACAGACAGGCCTTGTTGGAACTCATCATGGTGTGGAGCGATCATCTGTACCCTTCAAGGGTCGCGTTGTCCTGCTGCCTGTCCTCATCTCGCTAGAAACATTCAGTTTCAGTGTTTCTATTCATGAAAGACTAGTTCCACTCGATGTTTTAAAGTACTTGGTTCTTTTTTTGTCAGCATTTTTGTCTTCCAAACCAGGGTCGGTAGATTTGAAACACTACTGTGCTCCTTTTTTTAAATAGCCACATTCTGTCAGGTTGACTGAACACTGCACAGTTCATTTGAAGCGTTACAGTCTCAACCGGTATGAATACTGCAGAGCATTTCTGTCAAACATTCTTGTTACAATTTGTTTAATGCCTGCTTGCTTTTGTGGCAAAATAACTCGTGCTGCTGGATACACATCTAATTACTCTCCATTAGTTGTACTGCACTTTAATGGTTAAAAATAAAACTCTCCCTAAATCCTTTTAAATGAACTGAAGCTGTGGTTAGGGATTTCTGTTGGAAAGACTGTATACACACTAAAAATGTTTCAAAACTTAAGTCTCTGGTAGATGTCTGTAAGACCTTCAGGAAAGCTCAAATTTGTGAATGTGGAATTTGTGGTAGTTATATGTGGGGAGATAATCCAATTCATCAACGTCATCCCTATTAGCAACAGTCAGTAGTCTCTTTAACAGCACTTCCTGCTGGTCAAAAGAAATCATTACAGCCAGGTTAAGAATAAAAAGCATAAAAGGTGGATTTCTGTGTTTCAATCAAATACCAAAAGCTTGTCATTTCTTTCATACCAATAACATTTAAACTTTGCTCTCATTTTCTGTTAGACTGCACAAATGCAATGTAGTTTAAATGGAATCCAGCCTTTACCCATTTATTCCAAGAGGACTAGTAGGCTATCTCCACAGTCATTGGGAGAGAGACAAGGAAAAACCAGGGCAGGTAGCCTTAAAAGAAAAAGATACTATTTCAAAGTACACTGAGAATTTATTTTCATATAAATACATATAAAATACAATATAAACAATCACATTTCTTTGCAATATTATCCAATGGTATAAGATGTGAAAAAGTTGACTCCTATTACCAACATCTATAAGCATTTTACATTTGTAAACTTTGAGATAGCATGCGTTTGCACCTGATAAAAAAGGTGAAATAATTTCCAAAGAAAGCTCACTCCTGCGTCCTCAGTCACCAGTGGACTAGGCTCAACTTTCCAATATAAGAACACATCCAATATAAAACTACCACAGAGACAAATTCAGAGACTGCAGGCCTTTCAAAACAATCCTTTAGCGCAATGCATAGATCGCAAATAAGGCTGCTCCCTTTTTCTCAACTGTGCACACCGGATTCTGTAATAGTGTTATTTTAAAATGCGTCTATGTCAGGAAGAAGACCATGGTCTGCTTTGGATCCTACAAGAACCACAGTGGTTCATCGGGTTTCATCTGGCATGTGTGTCACAACCTCGCTTCATAGGAGAATTAAGGCAGGGATTAAAACCGACAGTGTGAAGACCGCTCATTTCATTGCATGTCTCTACCATCAGCAGCAGTTGTGACCGGTGTGGAAATGTGGGCGGGTGTGTTTAATCCAAAGTGAAGAAAACCCTATTTTTGCACTCATGCAACCATTTAACCAAAGGCCTGAATGACTGGAAAAGTGTAGCCTCAACCCCATTTTGGAAATGTGGACGACGATAACACTTTATATTTCAGGCTCGGTGAAAACAACCCGTAACTTTTCAGTGCGCAACTTTAAAAACCTCAGCTGAATTTCTGTAAAGGCTTCAAAGAAAAGGGATCAAGTAACAAAAGTAAAATGATCATAAACTAGCAGTTTAGTAGAAGTCCAGTACAACTGTACAGCTGAGAGCCCAGTAGTCCTACCACAGGTGAAGCCCAATGGCCAGTGTAATTGTTGCTTCTTGGGAAATTGTGTTTAACCATACTGCAGCAGAAACTTAGGAACCTCTTGTGTAAATTGGTATTTACCTTCAGTATAAACAGAAAAAGCCTAAATAAAAAAACAAAACAAATCAAACCCACTTCAGCATGGGTCAGTAAACTAGATAAAGATGAACTTTGGTCATAATTTAAGGATTGTCTTTTGCAGTTGCCAGTAGAACAGCAACCAAAAGTAAGAGTCCAAAACAAGTTTGGGTTGAACCTCAGACCACCACGGTGGTTTGCTTGCGTAAATGAGGTCTGCCCCGAAACCTCTGATAAACCCAGAGCTCTGCGTCACTGGTCTTTTTCGTGGTTGGAGTTTCCATTCATGACTCCGTTGGTGTGGTGCGCCCATGTCTGATTCTGCAACACTTTAGGCAGCCTCTTGCCCTTGGTGTAGGCGTGGTAGTAGAAGTTAAGGAAGAGAAACAAGAAAATCAGGCCATACAGGCCAATGATGTAGATAAAGATGGGGAACTGGTAGGGGCAGTCCTTCATGAAAAAGTACTGGGAGATGTGGCTGGTCACCATAACAAACTGGATCTAGGAAACAATAAAAGACAGTTTTGTTTTACTTGACCTGCCATGATGTAACACATGATATTCATACAAGATATGAGCCAGGTCAGCGTACATACCAGCTGAATGGTAGTGAGGTACTTCTTCCACCACAGGTACTTCTGGTAATTAGGGCCCATGGCAGTCAGCCCATAGTATGTGTACATGATAACATGGACAACACAGTTAAGCAGGGCATGGAATGTTCCAAGTCCACCTGAAATAAGAAGTGCATCAGGTACAATGTCAGAAAACATTAAAGAGAAAAAAAGGAATTCACATAATGTCCCATGAAGCCTTGTTTGGACATGATGCAGAAATGGGGAGTTTACCTGGGGCAAAGCGAACACCAAACCACCAGGTGAAGGGCATAATGGAGTGATGGTAGACATGAAGAAACGTCACCTGGCTGTTCTTCTTTCTCAGCACAAAGAATATCTGGAACAAAAAGTGTGATTTAGAAAATGGAAAGAGCTGGGCTATTGACAGGTTTATGTAAAGGAGAGAAAGAGGAAACTGAGTCACTTGTGTTAAAAGAAACAGATTCTGCTACTTACAGTGTCTAACATCTCAATGAACTTTGAGAAGTAGTAAAGCCAGCACGTTGCCGCCATCTAGAGGACGAGATGAAATCCTAGTTCAGATTCAATGAAACATGGAACTCTTGCAGTGCAAGTTCAACCTGAATGTTCATGAACAACTTACCCTCATAGCCTGTGGAGATTCCGAGTAGTCAACCAGGTCACAGTGGAATGAGTATCCTGTCCCCCACCCAGACATCACAAACTGAAAGAAGCAGTTAAAAGAACTCCTTTGAAATAAATGTCTGTGTAGGAAGTCGAGACCACCCCAAAAACAAGTATCTGTCACACAGTAGCCTTCATTACACTGCACCAGTTAGCCTTTGAATTACAACAACATGGACCTGTTGCTCACACATCATTTAATCTGGTGTTCACAAGATAAGAATCAAGTTAAACTTCATTCAAACAAAGAATTATTCTTATCAAATAGGTTGGACAAGCTAATGTTACATTAAGTAGTTTTTTAGAATAGCAGAAAAAGAAGATAGCAGCTGATAAGCAGCTGTAAAAGGAAACGCAACAAGAGGAGCCTTTAACAAGACTACCCAGGATACGAGTCATGGTGTTCACTCCAATTGCAAGTCTGTGCAATGCATTGTGAAATCTGAAGATTACCGGCCAACCGAAATTCCACTGAAGCTAGTAATAAATAAAAACTATGTTACACTCAAACACTGTGACAACTAGCCAAGAACTGAGAAAGATATCAAACTGAGAATAAGCTTAGAAGAATCAGACTACATGTTTTAAGAGGTTGAGAAAATAAATGGTGTAGTGTCGACAATAAAACAATCATGCCAGGAATCTGACCATACCTCGTAGCACATGTACAGTGAGAGAGCCACCACGCTGAAGTTGTAGACAATGAGGACTCCTTTGAGGTCAAAGGCTTTGCGGTTCTCCATTATTCGAGGCCCCAGGGATGTGACGAAGAAAATGTATACTGCAATGATGAGGGTTTGGGGGACAGGCGACGACATAAGCAGCCAGTTTTCCGTCCGAGAATCTGCAAGAATATTGCGAGATCAGCAATGTTCCAATAACACCGAATTTCTATTTGCAAACAGCAGGACGGGCCCAGAATGACGATGCTGGGTTAGACGTGGTCGTGCTGATCGTTTCTGATGTCTGAGACTCACCTGCATTCTGGATGAACTCATCATAGATGAGGGCAGCAGAGGACTTTATATTATTAAACTCCATTTCCTGACAAGATCCCTATGGTTCACCTGAAGAACAGAAAAAGCAAAGGATAGCGTGTCAGTTTATGCTAAAAGTTCACTTACATTTGGATAAAGAACCCAGCGTACAGTTTGTCTAAAAAATTAAAAGTACGAAAAAATAATGCTACAGTCTATTGATTGTAAAAGAATATATAAAAGCGGCAATTAAATGACGAAACCATCCAAATAGGCTTGGCACGTCGTTCCTTAGAATTCTTTAACAAGAAGTCTCTCTACAGAAGCCCCTGCAGGCAGCACACAGGCTTACTTCCTTGAGCAAATAGAGCCTCGATTCAGGAAGTAGTTTTAGCGTCTAATCAGTTACAAACTGCATTTAGCCAGACACCCTACCCACTTAAACACACAGACACAAAGTTAGAAACATAACTAATACTAGTGTTTGTTTGCAGCATCCTACCCCCTTGATGTTACCAGGCACACAGTGACAAACATAGCCTTCACACATCCACGAAGACAAAGCCCTCTCTACAATAAAACCTTCCCTGTTGACACTGGTGTGATTCTATGCAGCGCACAAGGCTCACCCAGCTGTCTGATCACTGGAGTAAAGTCAAAATGCTTGTGATGTGTAAAAGAGATTTCATAAGGTAACGCCTGGGAGATTATCAGGGTTAGTTTCGGGTTTAGTGGGGTGAATATCACACAAGCCTGACTGGTTTATGAGACAGCTTGCTTTGAGAAAAAGTGCCAACTTCTGGTTTGAAAAAAGGTCACTGACCCCAACAAGAAATAAAACAAAAGTTAAAAAAAGTTTAAAAAAATAAATAAAAAAAAAATCGCACTCCGTTGGGATGTTTAATGTTTTATGGAGACTCTCCCAGTTAAACGACAAACTAGCGATGACTACGTCACCCAACGTCTCCTTGAACAATCTAAATCCCTCCATGACAGGTTTTCGGGGTGTGTCCACCTGAAAGCAGCAGGAACTACAACACGCCGAAGAGTTATTCGGCAACTTTTTTTTTTTTTTTTAAAGGAAACAAAAAAAGAAAAAAAAAAGGCAGGGCTGTCTGGAGGCTTCGTGCTAATCAACGCAATGGCAAGTCTTGACACGCCAATTAACGTTACGGCCAGGCTACTGATGTCAAAGCTGTTACTCCCATGGCGCTCCAACTCCGTGTTCACTGTACAAATACCGAGTTTCACACTCAGACGTACCAGTGAAAAGTACACACAGATAAAAAATAAAATAAAAGTGGATTAAAAAAGTTAACGTTTCAGTGTGCAGGTAACGCATTTGTCCACATTTTAAGTAATACAACTACAAAGCCACCGTTTAAAGTCGTGCTCAAATACAGCCTTACTCAGAGAAACTTTCTGTATGGTATTCATATCATGTATAAAAACGAAAAAAAATTAAATTAACATTCTTAGCCAGAGTCTGCAGCTTTTATGGGCGCCAACGGTTATCATCCACTACGAAACCCACAGATGCTCTTATAAACCTCCTCTGTACATTCCATTCTTTGGCATACAACTGCCACCGCCAAACACCAAAAGTTCACCCACCTTTGGCCTAACAATCCCTGAAACTGCCTTAGATCCGTCGAGTTATTTTTCCAAACTTCCGATCCACCTGTTCCTTCCCAGCAGGTGCTCGACGCAGCTCACTCTGCCGGTCTCGGGTCTCCTTGGCTCTTATCGTCCGCCGTGGGTGGGACCTTCCGCGCAGCCGCGCCCTCTGCTCGCTGATTGGCTAATTTCTTGAGGTTCATTGTTAAGTGATACCTCATCGAAAACTATGTACGACTTTGTGACAGAACAATGCAACAATGTAAACGTCATCGATCACTGGTTTCAAAAGAAAATTATTTGAAGAAAAAAAAGTGTATTTTTCCACTGTCGTCAATCGATTCAGGGAAATATCCCAAGACTATTTCAGTCATTTGAAAGTAATTAGATTAATCGAATGAATACATTAGCAGACTATTAGTACGTTTTTTTTTCTAAAAGAAAAAAGGGGAAAAACAACAACATTTCAGGTATTTCAACAGGTACAAAAGACAATACGTTATGCTGTGTGGCAGATGGAGGTTTCACACTCCCTGCATCAAGTTTCTGCAGATCCTGAGAGCAGCACATAGAAACAAATGCAAATATTCCTAGGAATAACAATGAGATAGTCTTTGTTTTTCAATGGCTTGTTTCTCCCACTTGAGGACTGTGGGAGGTTTTTCAATGCAGCTGCAGAAATGGCCACATTGAAAGACTGACCACACCAACAAGATAAGTCTATCCAAAAACATTACAAGCCAAATGGCAATGGGATGAAAAAAAGTATTTAGTTCCCTTCCATTTTGCAAATGACAAAAAATGACTTACAATAGAGTCACTAACAATCATGTGAAAATATTTATTTGGTTTTAAAAAGTTTAATAAAAAATGCAACATTGCAAACATTGCCCCTTCAAGGATTTAGTTTAAAAAAAAATTAAAAGACAAAACAATGCTCTATCAAATGTCCTAAAACAAACAGTCATAACATTGCCCATTTGTAAAAACTGAGGCTAAGACTCATTTATGCACACATTTGCCCTACGTTTTAAGGCTTCATCTTTGTTGGCAAAAGTGTAACAGGAGTAGTTTTTAACATGATCCAAAAGTAAAGGAAGTTTATTCCATTTATAGACAATGTTATGATGAATGAAAGCTCATCCATCAAATCCAAAACGTTAGCATTAATCCTCATCACTGCTCCAGGTATCCTGAAAGGCAGGGTTCACTGCAGTCAGGCCATCAGCACCCTGTAAGAAACCAAGATGTTTATAACAATTTCCAAACAAAATGTTAAAAAACAATACTAAAGCACAATAAATAAGAACAATATTTGGGCGCAGAGTGAAGTAAAAACACGAGTAGCCACCTAGCCACATACTGACACATCATTTTCTTTTAATTTATGACAACTGAGGTCACCTGATCCATGTGCCAGCTGGTAAATGGTATCATATAAAACTGTTCCTGAATGTCTAAATGGTGTTAGAGTTGAGCAAAGGTAAGTCAGTGTCACCCCGTTCCAGTTAATGCTGAGCTATCATTATTTAAATTCCTTGGAGTTTCAACTTTAAACTCATTTCTGCTGCAAAGACAAAATAATAAGGGGTTTAAAGATAGCTCCTCATTGTTTCGTTTTCTTTATTTTTCTAAACATATCTTAAAAGCCATTTATTCATATTTATCAGCTTCATGTTTGTCCTTCTGCTCTAATCTTGTCCAAAAAATGCATAATGAGTAAGAACTATGCTTCAGTCGTTGTCTAATGCAAAGCTGTTTGTGACTTCTGATAAGATTTTTAAATAACTTTTAAATGGGACACTGACTATAATGGAAGGACCATGGAAGACATAGAACTTTGTGTTTAAAGCTTGTTGCTGAAACACAGTGAGAACTAACAGATGTTATATGCCAGATGTTGAGTTTCTGGATATTAGAACAATGACTACGCTAAATTTTCTGGAGACACAAACATCCAAAAGACCTTGGAAATCTCATGTTTAATTTCCAACTGTATGTTTGCATCCTTTCCAGAGTATCCTAGATACTCTGGCTGCTGTAACACCCCCCCACATCCTCATTTGGGTACGCTTTGGCCATGCTCTTCCCCTATTAGTTTATCTCATGCCTATAGATTGGCCATGTTATCAATTAATTACATCAGAATCCAATTCTGATGAAGTTTTAGAAAGATAATACAGACAACATAAAAAAAGGTCAAATCTGCTTCAGTTTTTCTTTCAAGAGTGAGAATCTAAATTATAAACCTGAGAACCAGCCCTTTATTAATAATAAATGTTTTTGTAAATCTATGACATTACACTTAAATGAGTAACATAGACGGTTACATCTTTAAAAAAATGTTTTAGTATAGTTGCCTTATGTTATGCCCAGTACCTTATTTTCATTTGACTCTTCTTCCACATCTGCAGTACGTAGGACAGGAACCCACGCAAGAATGTTACAGTCTTTACCTCCACTGTACAGCTCCTATAAACAAACAACATGAGTGCCATAAAACCGTGTTACAGGATATAATCTTCATAATACAACAATTACCTCCTAACAGCATTGGCACTTGAGGAAAACAAGTGTAACTGGGACTAAAAGCAGGCTAATTCATACACTCAAAACTGTTCATGCAAAGAAAGTGATCTGCTAAGAGACACTGTCAGGTATTTGGGGCTGATTATGTTAAAACATAACATGCAACCTAGAAAATAATAGTACATTTTCAGAACTTCATGTCCTTTTTCGGGAACTCTGGAGTGACAAGCTGCCAAACTACATTCCTTCATTCCAAAGATCTAAAGCGTACAAGTGTTACCGGATGAGGAAATGGCCTAACAAGGAAAATGTGGGCTGGTCATCCCTCCGCATTCTCCCTAACATTACTAAATGAGAAAGGTATGTCTCAGCTTTAAACATTACTGCTGACAGTAGTCAAGATAGAGAAAGTGAAGGGAGATTAAATATGTTTACGCTTAAGGGACATTTCTGTTTTAAACAGGATACTTATCAAGAGTCTCCTGAAAGACATATTACCTCAAATGAAAGCACGAATCCAATCAAACATTAACATTTCTATATAAATAAAAGTTAATGAAAATTTTGAGTGTTTTATGTAATAGCGAAATGAAACCCTCCTTGTTCCAATTCTGATAAGAAATCAAGCACACCGAGGGAACCTTTTTCCGCAGCGACAGTTTTGCCATGAAAGTTTTTAAAATGACAATGTCAGTTAATAAGTAGCCTGGGAATGATTCATTCTTCCAGCCAGCTAATAGGGACACCCAAATTCGAATTTATGGATGCAAATATTAACTCTATCACAGGGACTCTGTCATTGTGTTTGCAAATGACTAACTGCACCAAATTCCCAGCTGGGAATGCAAACATAGTTACTGGTAACATGTGGACAACCTGATTACTGCCTCATCCTTTGGTGTGGCTCACCTGGTAGTCTGGATGGAACTCACAGCAGTCCACATTGTTGTAGTGACCTCTGAGCATGGTGACTAGCTCTCCTGTGTGGAGTGCATACACTGCCACAGAGCTGCCACATGGCACGAAGACAAATTCTGGGCTGCAGCCGCGCGACACTGTGAACTGCAGCCTTTTACGAGACTCGTTGCACACTTTCCCATAATTTACCTGAGAGATAAAAAAGAGGAAGATCACCGGGTTCAGGGTGTGTTTAAAACTGTAATGTACAATGCTGCTTCTAAACTGAACACTCTGAATCCTGGGTGCTCATATAAATTATTTTGAACAACTGGCACACAGATAAGGTAAACAAAAGTGCTTTTACTTGTACATTCTTTTTACATCTGGCTAACGTGACTCACGGCGTTGAGATATTTTACCATAATCCAAGTCTGACCTTTGACCATCAAAAAGACAGTTCTTGCCTTTAAGTCACTAGCAGTCTTAGGTTTGCTGTGGCCTTAGGATGGAAAAAGCCTGCCATGGCAACCGTGGAACAAAGCAGTAGAGCAGGAAATTAGAACAGGAGGCTGTAAGCAAGCCTGAGCGAAAGGCTTTGTGTAGTTTGGAGTTACGCACAGGGCTGATGTGAAATATGGACACAAAGTTAGAATATCAAGTCTGTTCAGTTAACCTGAAGAAAAAAAAATCCCTTTACAATTAGTCATTTCTCTCATCTTATACTTCCGGCGTAATGGATGGCCAAAGGTAACAAGTCAAATATTTGCTCACAGAATACCTTCATATGCAATTATGTAACCAAATATTTTCAGGTAGGCTGACTGGTCTTTTCTTACAGTTGATATGCAGACATATTTTTTTTCTCAAATAATAATGATTTACATTTTATTCATTAGACATATCCAATAATAAGTCGACTAGAGACCAGTTTAAACATGGTAAATATAAGTCACTTTATGTTGATTTCACCCTCAGAATCAGAGATACTTTACCAATCAAAATAAGGGTAATCATTAAATAATTTATATAAAGAACGACAGCCCAAAAAATGTGTGTAAACTGAGCTTACATTAAAGCAGACTGTCACTGTCACTCACTTTCTGGTGTATATAGAAGAAGGCAGCTGTCATTTTAGCATATACAGAAAACTATGACAGCCTCATTATCCTGCTACATGTGCTCAGAGTGACTTTGTGTCGCACAGCTTGTTCTACATATAATAGCTGTCCGATAACATTGAGTTAACTCTAATAATGTGGTAATTAGTCTAATTTCAAATCACATCACATCAGTAATGTTTTGGTATGCTTTTATTTGTTGTTGACTGTTAAGCAAAAGGCCAAAGAAAAATGTCTGCTCCAACCATAACATTCCACATGTTTGTGAAGGTGGACTGTGGGAATAAAGCTGCGATACATCTTTCTTACCAGAGTGTTCTCTCCAGTGGCACTATTCCATAGTCTCATGCGGTCATCAGTCCCAGTGGTGAGGAGGTACAGGCCATCAGAAGTGAAGCAAAGGCCATTCACTCTGCCATTATGGGCTGTGTTCACTGATTAGAGACAGATATGGCATGTTAACTGCATTTCTCATCTGTTTCCTCCATTGATGTGGACACTTTACAACCATACCACATATTTTTCACAGCATCGACAGACCAATTCATGAATGGCCAATTTATGACAGCCAAGAGTAGTTAGGGTGTGTATGGGTGCAACGTTCTGTGGATCATTTCATGCATCTTGTTCCACTCTGACCTCTGAACACATTTTTATCCTCTCTGCTTTGCCAAAGGATGGCCTTAAAACGCCACAAGTTCATTCAAAAATCCTTGTCTCTGAATACTTATAATAATAGTTGAGATAAACTAGATATATTGTGAACTTGTTTCCTCCTTGAGCACAAACAGACCTCCGACAAGAAAAACAGAAACTGTAAATGCAAGAGGGTGACCTTTCCTCCAGAAACTCAGACTCAATACTGTGCTAACCTGAATAACCTGATAGTTGAGAAATATCTCAACTCTGAGAGCAGCAAGGCTGCTGCAGTACACATAAATCTCTGTAGCACATCATTACGAGCATTAACTTTGATGTACCTGGAGATTCACTTTTATGTCTGAACACTAATGTGTGAAAGCAACCATTTCTGGAGTCTCACCACAAATCAAGATGCTTCTATGGATACAATATATGTGATGTAAAGAAGACTCTTGCCTACTTTGGATGAATCATGGCAGAAAGGTAGAAGGTAACAGTACCTGCCTCTGAGGAGGCTTTCGACTTCTCTCCATTGTGCTGGTCCAGCGTGATAAGGCTGCCTGAAGCACGGCGCACGTCCCACACTTTCACCTTACTGTCTGCACTGAGAGGGAAAGAAGAGAGACTTATTTGTGCACTTGAATTTCTAAGATAGCACTAATCAACTTGTTTGACTGCATTCAACTAACCGAATAGCCAGAATTGTATAAGCTCAAGAGTGATGAGTTCCATATGCAAAAGTGGATTTGTTTGTTAGCATCAGTTTTCAGGGTGTTACCACGCTGGCCCATAATGGCCTATCATACATTTCATTGTGTCCCTCGGTGGCAGTTGTTTTCAAAAATCACTTAAGAGTCCAAAGCCACACAAGCACAGTAATCTCAGTGGGTTCATTAGAAGGTCTAATGTGGCGTAAAACAGAAGGGGACTGTGTCTACCATATGCTAAATCAACAAGGCCACATGAGTGCCACTGTGCCTATCTAGTGTTGAGATGTTATTATTATCCTTGACTCAAGGTTTTTAATATGGCAAGATGGCTGGGAAATGAGACAGCATGGTTGGGATTTGTGTATTTTTAACACATCATGGTGCCCCGAAGTCAGACTGGGTTTATAACGGATGGGAAAGCAGGGCTTACCTGGCAGAGGCTAAGATATGCTCATATCTGGGAGACCATCGCACAGACAGCACCTCTGCTCTGTGCCCTGGATTGGCAGATACATTATTAGTTCCACACAAAAATAGTTCAATTTGAAACTTTACATTTCATGGATTTCTAAAAGTGGAACGCAACGGTTGTTATCGATTTAGATAAAGGACGAAAGTATCTAGCTTACATGACCATATAAGATCTAAAAAGACCTTATCATGTTCAATGGTTTTATAAGGCATAACTTACAAAAAATGGACTGGAAACGTAATGCATAATAAAGTAGCCAAAGAAAATGTACACTAACCCTGAAGAACATGAATCCGTGAACCAGACTTCAGGTCACATAGTTGGATTTTAGGATTTTTGGTGCCAACTGAAAACATAAAGATACAGAGATCCTTCAGATAGAAGAAATTAATTTATTATTCGTATTTATTATTTTCGCAGATTTGCATCCATGCAGACAGTAACAATTCATATAATCACAGTTTCGGTGCAAGATTTCTTCTTTTCAATGTCAACAAATTTGACGAAAAAAAGAGTCTGAAAACTCATTCCAACTACAGGAAGGTGACTGAGGGGCAAGAAACACAGATTCTATGGTAAATATGAAAACTCACTGTTAATATTTCTGATAATCATGGGCAAACACACTCAAGCCCTCCCCTCGTGAAGACTTGGGAGAGGGAAAAAAGGTTGGTCACTACTGAAAAATCAAGGAGATCACGCAGTTCTCAGCTTTAAATGACTCAGCAGGAATTATTTTGGGATGCTTTTGAGGAAAATTTACCTTAAAAGCATTTTCCTACATGAAAAACTGAGAGCATGCCTTTGACCTGTTTAGCAGGTATCTTTAAAAGGTGGTGAAGTGATTTAAAAAAAACATGTTTCTGGCCGAGAAACTAGATAGGACTGATTTACGCTCGTGACAAAGACCTTTTCTCCACACATGGGGGAGCAAATACTCAGGGCATGATTAACCTGTTGTCCCTGCTTGGTGAGCTGGGAACACCAAGATTCCAACAATGTTTCCCCATTGAGATTTGCTCCTGAGCAGACAGCTTATGAACCACTTCTGTCCCCTATAGGCAGATGTCACTTAACAGCCTTGGGTAAAGGGCAGGGACGATGTTTGCACTGTTTGGTCTAGCAGCATGTAGCACATTTCTGGGAGTACCAAACGAGTGATTGACAGAATTACTAATGGGAGTTCGGTGCTTTTGAGGACACAGTGACTGTGCAGATGATTTGTCCACAGTCAGCAAAAACATCTAAAACTGTATCCATTGAGCACACACATACCTGCAATAAGGCTGTGCTTCCGGGCGATGGGGGACAAGTGGTGGGTGTAGACATTGTCTTCAAACTCAAACACTTCAGCAGGCTAAAGAATAACAACATAAGAGACAAATAGGGAGACCCACAGACATGGTAAGTCATGGAAGCTGTCTCTATATTCAAGGCTGTGCTTATTTGAATATGTATGCTGAATGGAAATGTAATCTTCTGATTAAATGTACAACATTGGCTTTAAATTTTAATAGGGGCATAAAATTCACCAGAGGGGACAGAGGGACAAAGATCAATGTATAAAATGAGGATAAAATAATCCAAATGAGAAGACACAGCAGCTCAGAGCTCAGAGGGCAGGTCGCTCCGGCAGCAGTGGTGGCTACAATGCAAATTCTTCAGCCAGCATAAAACCCTCTCTGTGCTCCATCTGTCAGTGTGTGCCAGCACCGGCATGGACTTGGCCAGCGGGTGGGGGGGCGCACAAACACACACATTCACAGAGAAGTCTCTGTTTGCATAAAAATGCCACACATAGACAGAGACAAGGCGCACAACAATGCAAAACACACAAGAGATTTAATAAGTGTGTGGGTCTGTGTGTGTTTGTATGGAACAAAAAGAGAGAACCAAATAGAATGAACAAATGGAGGCCGGTGGGATCTTTTCTGTCCCTTCCGTGACCTTTTGAGGTAACTGTGGTGTCGGTGTCATTAGCACAGCTGTGGGGCTGCCATATGGCCCAGTATGGCACAGAGAGGTAGAAAGCATGACACAAATGCAGTCCCTCTTATTTGTTAAAGATTGTATAAACTATTATCAGGTTTAATTGCTTTGTTTTAGAGTCCCTCTAATGATATTTGTACCACTTCCTACAGTGCACCAAACTAACCTAAATTACAAAGTTGGCAGAAAATATAACCAATAAACTTGGTCAATATGTTTGTAAGAAACAAGGCTCACCTTCAAAGTCTCTGTTTCCCAGACTTTCATGGTCTTGTCAAAAGAACTTGAGACAAACATTCCTGTGTCATAAGGATACCACTGGACTGTCTCCACACTGAATTTGTGGACATACCTGCTTGACCTGAGAGATTTAAAAAAAGAAAAACTCATTCAGGGACATATAACAATGCTGTAAAAAATCTATTTGTTAAGATATTTTCTTAATAGTACATAGAATAACTACTACTTTTGTACTACAAAGTTATACATTAGGAACAAGCTTTTGAGCTGCCTTGTATGCCATATAGTTGCCATAGAACACTACCCTCTAGTGGATGAAATGAGTAAACTGGGTATCTTTACCTGCCTACTGTGCAGACAGCTTTGCAGGTGTACTGGGGTTTTCCACTGAAGTTCTCCAGGTCATAGATGACGATTACTCCATCTGCACCTCCAGACAACATGCTGACCAATGGAGAATGCATTGGCATATTCAACGGATTTAATAGAGTTTTTACTTTGTGTTATCTTTAGGTGATGTTGTTGTAAAATACAAATATAGATGTATTTGTATTAGTATCTGTCAATTGCAATTTAACAGTACTGAAAGATTGTACATAATAGAAACTGATGCTGTTGCTCCAGATGAATGCTCAGAAGAAATAATATAAAGAGTCAAGACTAACATGGGACTAACATGGGTTGCCCTTAAAATGAACAGTGAGGACACTTGTTACGGTAATATATGCCGACAAAACAGTTGGGGTGGTACTTTTCAAAACGCCATACAGGCCAACCAGACTACGAGGGTTGTCCAACAAGGAGAACTAAGACACACAACTTTTTGACATCCTTATTGAGCCTGAGATGGTGAACAAGCTTTACACTTTCAGTCTCACTACTGTGGTGTTTAAAAAAGACAATGTGAATATTAATAATATTGTTTAGCTTTTAAAAACGAAAGAAAAATAAAAAGACTATTCAACTTGTCTGACTGAAAACGATTTTTTTCCCATACACCCTCTAAATAAGGAGCATTAGCACTGTTAATATGGAGAATAAGTACATCAAAATCAGTTTAGATGTCACAATAATGCCAGAGGTACAGTGGTGTGCTGATTCATATCAATGTAATAACTTGAGTCTCAAAATACTTACTATCTGCCCTCAGCTGCATCAATGTCAATAGTGTTAATGCCATTTCCATGGATTCTGTCCACATCCCTGTCAGGATTTAGGGTCAAACTGAGAACCCTTGGGAGACACAGAAAGGTAGGTCATTGAAAGCCTTTTTGCATGAAAAAATGCAACTATTCAATCAGAAAGTGCAAAAAGTCCACATAATACTAGTGGTCGATTTTGAGTCACTTTTTATATTATGAAATATTTATTTGAGCTAATCTAGTTATCTTTTCTTGGATCGATATCTGTGATTGGGTTTACGTGGAAACACAATCAACCACGTATAAATAGCAAGTTAATGTGTGTATCAGAAAATACAACGAGTTGAAGAGTTTACGCGAGATCTACGACAGCCAATTGATTTTACATCATCATGGAATACCTGGGTTCCTGTTCTTCTAAAAAATGGTCTTTTGCTTACCTTCTTGTTGACTCTGCACGTCTCAAACGCAGAGGGTCATCCAGACCAGACTGTCTTGCTGACAAAAATCCTAACATTTCTTCAGTTTGGAGACAAATTCATTTTAAATTGGAGGAAATTTCTAACGTCAAACGTTAGCTAACCTAACTCAAATGCTAACATGTTCCCTACAATGAAGTGTATCTAATCCATACCAAATATTTGCAATTTCAACAAAGCTTTGAATAGTGGCAACTTGTGCATTAGATCTAAATGTGTTAGTCTGACCATCCTGAGAGTATATGTTTTATGTACATATTGCATAATTTGAACTAATCCTAGCTAATGTTGCATCCGTTCAAAACAATGAGGCGCCATGTTGGTTTACAATGCTCATCCTATCATAAAGGCGGTTATTGGATGGGGAAAGTACAGCTGTCCAATCATAAAGCAGTTTGTTCATCCTGTGCAACGAGTCCTTGCATAAACAAGAGCATGAGAGGGCAGTCAGCTGCCAGAGGATAATCACTTCAGCCCAAACCCTGCTGTTTGTACTGTAAAGATGAGCAGAATTTCTGGAATTCTGCGGCGTACTTTCGGAGTAGTACGCGAGCATGTCGGGACAGACCACTTTGGCAATAAATACTACTGTATCCCTGAACAGAAGTCGTGGACAGGTAAAATTGAGACACGTGCTAAGATTAGCTAGTAATGCGTCTGTCTACTATTTAACACACGCAGACAAATGACTATGCTGTCGATAAAAGGCTATCAAAAGCAGGTTGATGCTTTAATACGTAGCTGACACTATCTTTTGACTTTTGTTGCTTCGCTTAAACCAAACTAGCCCAGTTTGTATCTGCTTTTTGGCGTTCACTTTAGCTGCTCTTCTTGATTTCTTGTTCAAACTCTTTAAACATGCACGTTTGTGTTTGCCCAAAATGTGTCATAACCGTATCTCGTAATGCAACTCTGGTTTTGACTTTCCTTTACCCTTTTCATATAGTACTTTTTGTAGTACTATAACGTTGCCACGAGATGGCGCACCAGTCTCAATGACAACTTGCTTTTTGAGTATTTATTTATACAGTCTGATTTTTTAATTAAATGTAAGATACCATGATATTAATAATAATGATACACAACTCCTCTGTACCAAGTGCTCAAGGTGAAATGATTCCCCCAGCGCTGCCTATCAAAGAGTCTTTGTCCGTAAGAAGGATTTATTAAGAGGTCGTATAGCCCCACTGAGACACAGCATCGTTACTGCCTGCGCCAAAGAGACGGGCTGTGTCAGGTTCATCTGTGTTGGGGTGCCTGTGGTGTCCTCTGTGCTTTCTCTGTCTTACAGACGAAGAAGTTTGTCCACTGGCTGGGCAGGCATGATGGTCAAGCTAAATCTCTCGTTCTCTCTCCAAATAGCAGTGATTGTGCATCTCGGACATGGATATGGTTAAAGGGGTCGTCAGGAGTGGGATCCACCTTCATTAGAAGGTCACCAGCCGGTAATTGCTGCTCAAAGAGCAAGCTCTTTGTCAGTCTCAGACAATGGTACTGCTTTGGGACAGATACTGTAGAACAGTTGGGGCCCGCTGTCTTCTGCGGCTCAGGAGGTCAGGGGTTCGATCTGTGGCTTGCCCTGACCACTCGTGGGGGAGTTCTTGGGATTTGAACCCCGCATTGCCTCAACGTATGAATGTGTGTTAGTGTATACCATATAAATGTGTAGATAAAGAGGTATTATATGTGTGCGTGAATGGATGAGGGTGGCTTTTTGCGTGGAAGCAATTTTGAGTGGTCAAATAAACGGACTGTATGAGTTTGTTCATACCGAAAGCTTTCTGTGGAATTCTTATATTTGAAGGTAGCTACGTCTCTTCTCTGATATTTGTGTTTGTAGTCTGCACAGTTCAGTACCGCCTTGTGTTTGTCTCCCTCTTATGGTCCATTTTTACGCAGCCAAGAGTGTTTCTCTCTCTTGCCTAAAATGAATTAATGTTCTACAGTGAAAACATTCACAGACATTTTTCTAAATGGACAAAACCAGGCTATTCTGTTTGCGAATTTAATTCGGCTACCTACCTCTGTCAGGTAGCGTGCTTGCCTTTTTTTCTGATGGAAGTTGACTTTGTGCTTCACCTTTTCTCAGCAGTTTGTGAGGAATCTTTCACCCACCTCTTATTTATAATTCATTACAAGGCTGCTGCTCTACCCCTGGCTGTCAGACAATTCAAATGAGACATCACAGAAGCCGTCTTCTAGCACGCTACAGGCTAAAGTATGCAATGTCCCATCACAATGACTGACACCGTGGAGCGGCAGGCTGGTTTGTAGAATAACTGGTTCTTAAAGACACTGTTGTGTATACTTGACAGGCACAAACACAGGCTCATATATGCATTAATCAGTAACAGTAAAGAAAAAATATGCTGTATATATTTGCATGTTTTTTTTTTCTCCAACACACTCTGTTCAGCCTTGTGGAAAAAAAAAAGGCAGATGCATTATTCAGTCCATATGTCTTGCTAAAGCGAGCTCTTTTTGATCTTAAAGTGATAGGCCAAGCAGGGGCTCAGGGCCTTAAGGCATGGACCGCAGGGTTTTCCACTGCAGTGCACAAGTTAAAATAGGTGAGGAGCCTCTCTCTCTTTTGTCTGCCCACCTCTTCTATTCATTTATTTGGCCGTCCCTGCTGAACACACCACCCTTTTTTACCTTTATGCTTTGCTGCTCTCGTTTTCTACTTCTCTCAGTCTGTTAACTTTAACAAACTGGGGCGTAAGCAATTCTGAGTGCCAGGGATGGACTCGCACAGGGAGAGGCTGCACGTTAGAATGCTAATGGTCGCCGAGACAGAAACGGCAAAAGAAGACAACTTTTGTTTCTTTTTTTACGCGGTTGTGTCCAATCTTATTTCAACAACGTCTCCTTAGGTTGCCCCTCTTGTTTGTCTTCGCATAGTTCTTCCTTCCCGAGCCCCTCCCCTGTATCGCTGCCTCTGGATTTTCTGCCTTTGAAGTAATTCCAGTGAAGTATTTCAACAGAGTGGAGAGATAGACCCTGCAGAGAGCTTTCTAAAGCCCTCTCCTCGTATGTTGCTCCTCATCAAAATGAAAAGGCCTGGGTATGAAGTACACCCCTTGAAATAAAGGATTTCTATGTCTTTTTGTCAAATAAAAAAAGGGTCCAGCAGCCGTAATGGCCAACTGTATAGCGCCGCCTCATAGAGAGGCTCACAGACGGCAGAGGCCCGCTGTTTGTTGTCTGTGGCAGGGCTCGGAAAAAGCCACCGGCGATCCGACCGCTGCTCTTCCAAGGTCCCCGCCACGGTGTTGTCCCCACCGAGCAAAATGGAGAATCTATATTTCTGTATCTTCCCGGGCACTTCTGTCCCCCAGGCCCTCCACTGCCTCACACCGCATGGGGCGCCATGTCATGCTGCCCAGATGAAAGCGCAGTGCTCTCAGGATGGGCTCATTCGTCTTCAGCAGCAGGCCCGCAGCTCTGACGCCTGCCTTCCCTCCCTTTATTTAGGAAGAGAGGCGCGCTGACATTATCGGCTGCTGCAGGCACATTTGAAAATAATTGCCTGTATGATTGCTATTTTTCTTACCTCTTTGAGGAGGTGTAGCCTTTGTCTTGGAATCAATGGCTGCTCAATACCGGACAGGGGAAAGGCAGTTTCCTTTCATGTCGCCGTGAAAAGGATGTATTTTTAGCGCTATTCATTTTAGCTGTGTGTGCCATGCAGTTTTAATCTATTGGTCCTCTCCACCGTGTGGAGAATAGAGGAGATTTGGAGGTTCTTCTGAGGTGCGGCACGCTGTTGCAGAGAAAAGAAGCATTGACTCGTCATCCTATCACTATCCCTCTCTCTTTGTCTATTATTTATTTGATTCCCCAGCTCTGTTCTATGAAGTGAAACTGAAAAGGCCTCAGTTCTGCTATTTCACAGAATAGGTGACTCTGGGGACTGAGAAGGAGGGGTGTGCTTTTGCATTAGCGCAAGCATTTGTGTCTGTTTATGTGTGCTTTTGCAGCATGACGGCTACACACCCCGTTTGTGTTCATATTTGTGTGTTGTTATTCGTTTATTTATTTATTTTTTTAGAAAGAAGGGGAAAAAGACGGAGCGGTTGTGTGTTTTCTCTCCACTTCATGCCCTAACACGCTTAACAGAACAACAGATGGCTGTGTGTCATCAGAGCATTAATTCAAGCCTCATATTTCTGCGGAAAGACTCGCAGTGGAAAGCGACGAGGGTCCAAATGGCTGTTTATTCTGCCACAAGTCATCCCCTGGGTGCGATGAAGGAAGGTCTATCCTATAGTAGGACACCAAGTCGGTGTTTACCGGCTCCACTATGTCCAGAGCCGATACGGTAAATCATGCTAATTGATCAGCAGCCTTGCAATACATGGGGCTTAAATGAAGGTTGTTTAATCGTTCTAGGATTTAGCTCATCTAGCCGCGTTCTGGTTGCCAAGCGTATATTTGCATATGTATGTTGTGGTCCATCATGGATGGCTTAACTAGTTCATTAAAAAGGCATTTGAAGAAATTGGTGCTGGAAGTGAGAGATGGGCCCCATTTATTTTCAATGGCAATTTCACATAGGCTTAGATCCAATACGAGTGGTTCAAGTGTTTCGCAGGTCCATTAAACACTGCCTATCTGCGGCAGATCCGCATCAGAATATCTGTGACTTGAAATTAATTTTACTTTGCACCTGCCGCAAACTCATTCGCAGCTCAGCACAATCAATGGTGCCGACAAAAGGAAACCTGCACCTTAATTTAAAAAACGAGAATTGCCGGTGAGCTAAATGTGGTTCACGTCCAACACGTTTTAACACCTGAGGACCCATTGTCGGGAGGAGAGTCTACCAGGGAGACTGACAGACAGGCTGACACACAGGGAGGCAGCTCCCGGAGCCTGCTGCTTCTTATTCAAGCCCGAATATTTTAATAAAGCAGACAGGCAGAGAGAAATAAGGCAAGGAGGAGAAAAGGGAAAGGGGAGAAGATAAGGCTGAGGGAGGCTATTGGAGGGTGGAGAGAAAGGTGGGGTACGGAAAGTGAGTGACAAAGAACAAAGGAGATGCTGACATATGGGGTGAAATTATAGAGTGGGGGAAGAATGGAGGGAGTGCAAGTGAAAGAATGGTGTCTGACAGAAAGATGGTGAAATGAGTGGGTGGGACAGGAAGGCGGAAAGAAGGGGAGAAAGAGAAGGTGGAGATAGGTTAAGGGTAACGGAGCGGTGGCTTGGGGAGGAGATTATAGTGCAAGGGAGGGCAAAGGAAGAAGGGGGCACAAAGGGAGTGGCAGAGGTGAACAGAAAGGGCTGGACAGCCTTATAGGAGAGCTGTTTCAGAGGGCGGGGGATCCATACAGCTCCAAAGCAACACCAGGAATGCCTACTTCCTGGCTCACCACAGGCCTTTTCAGAACCCTTTGGGGCTGGGGCTGCCCGCGAGGATGGGTGGTCTCAGACAGAGGGGGCCGGAGTGTCTCCTCCAGTCCTCACCAAAGCTGCAGTCACACACAGTGGAAATCAAAAGTATTCTCCTCAACGTGTTTACCACTTTTGTGTGAATTACTCAGCAGAGTCAGGGACAGAGAGAATGAGAGCTGACAGCGGCAGGCTCCTCCTCTCACCGGAGCCCGGCGGAACCACGACTGGCCCTGTCCCTCTAAACCTCATCCAACATCAACGGGGCCCTTGGCTAATGGGTAACCATGGTTACTGGCCTCAGACATCCCCTCCATCGGGTTTTTTTTTTTTTTTTTTAACAGAGAAAGAGATTGGAGGGTGGGAGATGTGGAGAGGGCGCCCGTATCGGTGCCCGGCGCTTATCAGATCACTCCATCTTCATAAAGCTGTCCATTACGCCGCACACAACTCAGCCGGGGAGGAGTAAACTCGGCCGAGCACGAGCTGGATGTTTCGGTTTCACAGGTGGAGCTGGTCTCTCTCTCTCTCTCTCTCTCGTGCTCTGGACGTTAGCGTGAGCTGAGGTGGCGGCTTGAGGCGCAGCCCGCCAGATGGGGTCAGCGGCAGCAGAGGGGGGGGGGCGTTCTCCGAGGTGTGAGTTCTGAGGACGCCTCTTGCCCAGATGTGGCTGATTGAAGTGTGCTTCCCCCGACATCTGCGACCGCCACGAAGAGTAGAATGTAGGAGGAAAAAAAGAGGCGGCGCGAGATGCCCGCAATGACATTGTGGAGGTGAAAAACCACTCAGGTCGCCCCGGGAGTACTCACTGGGGAGCTGATGTGCGAGGTAGGGGGGTTTTATGTTGCCTGTGTGTGTGTGTGTGAGTGTGTGTGTGTGTGTGAGTGCTGAAGCAGGTGATGGAGTTTAGCGGGGTGTGTTCAGGGTTCAAAGATCAGCCCTCAGAGCGCATCATGTCTTATTTTAGCGAATGGGAAGGATTGAAGTGTGGCTGCCACGGCAACCCCTCACCCTTTCCCGCTTCCCCGTCTCCTCCCCTGCCCTCCCCCCCCCTGCTCTTCCACAGCCACGCTCACAGATGAGTTGTGCTCAGACAGGTGAGATGGCTCATAAATATTTATGCGTCGGGATTTCATTCCTCCTGCCACTGGCCCCTCCCCCCCTCTCCAACGCAGTGCTGCGTTTGTCCTTCACGGTAAAGAGGCAGCGTCCTCGCTCCTGTCCCGCAGGTTAATCTGCCTGCTCTCTAGCCAGTTGTATGTATGTCTGTGTGTGTGTGTGTGTGTGTGTGTGTGCGTGCGTGTGTATTTGACTGGTAAATAGGTTTTCCCCCAGTGAGTGATGAGAAGGCAGACCTGTCACAAAGGGGCCCGCTGAGATGGAGAGCTCCTAACACCCTCCGTACGTACCTCTCTTTCTCACTCTCAAGGTGGGGGAGACGGGAGGTGCAGGACTGTGAAGCAGACGGATCCCTTACACCCAGTTTGATGACTGAATGTGTCAGGAGCTGTGCTAGTTAGTCAATCATTGGACAATAGGAAACATTTGGGAGAGACGGAGGGTTTTTTCCAAAGTAAAGATTTTCTCGCATCCGTCTGTCTTATTGACACACGTGTAGCATTCCAAAACCACAAATCGCTGAGTTTGCGGTTATCTGGTTGGATCCATGGGTCTTCTGACCTACTGTTTCTTTGTCTGAATTTTGTTTTGTATAGGACATTTAAACATATTGCAATATTTTCCAGAGGAAGCTTCTGAAAGTGACGGAGTTTTAACAATGTTTGTCTATAGATCATATTATAATATAATATATTGGATCCCCAGCTTGATGATAGTGGAAAGTTGAATAGCGCTGACTGACCTGTCTCATCGTTTTTGTCATTTCAAAGTTGTTGATCTGTCAAATGACAAGAATTCGCAGCTATTAAGTTACCGTCAAGATTCCAGCTTTTCCAGGACTTGCAATGCTTCTCAGCAGATTATAAGTTAAGTAAAAATGTTTTCTTGTATTAATTTCACACAGTTAAGCTAGATTACAAATTACAGCGAGCGTGGAATTAAATTCAGTCGGGATAACAAGCCTCCCCTCTGCGTCTATATGATGGGACGAGAGAGCTTGTTTCATAAATGCACGTGCATGCTGCATGTTCCAATAAAATCCACAGATACGAGATGTTGTGGAAATGGTTTAGTCATGCTGCAAACACAACAGGACAAGAGGAGATCCATGTTGGAGTGTGACGGAGGGAGATATGTAACCCAGAAGAGACTATGGGAAAGTAGGCTTTTCTCTTGCTGCCTATTATATAGGCATTAGCTGTAGTCAAACACGGTGCATGCTGGGACTGTAATACAATTGTACCATTTTGATCTGTTACCACCCACACCCAGAGAAAATATGTATGTGATCTGCTCTAGATTAACATACCTGTTAACATATTTGTTGGCGTTACCTCGAGCGTCACAGACACAGCTTTTTGTTTGCCGTCATTTTTTTCCCTGCATTTTCTATGAAAGGATTTCTCAGGAAATTCAAAGGCATGCATGTTAACAAACGCAAGGATCATATGAGTTTTACTCTTTGTTGGTCCAGTTTAGCAGCATAGGTGTTAAGACAGTGTTTAAGTCTTGCTGCAACAGAGAAAAAATCTTAAGGCTGCGTAGCTCAAACCTGTGAGGCCCTCAGTGACAATCTAGTGGGAACCAAAGCTGAGCCAAAGCAATACTAGCCTAATTAGCTGACCTGATTACTATAGAAGCTAGATAAAGTATGGAAAGGAATCTTCCTCATAAGACATAATTACAGAACAGCGCTTGTATGAAACGTTTTTTATTTTAATTTTATTATTCTTCATGGAAATTTGTCAAAAAACAGAGAGTGAAGCCACTTTACAACTTTCACTTTTGCCTCTTTTTAGAGCGCCATCATTCATCCATCCCAGTGCCAAAGCTATCTGTTATGGCTGAAGTGCACATTAAGGCCATCAGTCTGCAGTCTGCGTGGAGTTGGTTACCTCCATTTGTCCGTGTCCAGTCAGCTGCGCAGAAACTGTGATGGAATCCTGACAGATTGTCTGTGTTTTGGAGCGTGTTGTTTTTCTTGCCCATCCATTTTCTCTCCTTCGAGCCATGTTTGCCATGCATCATCACTCTTTTCCCCCTCCCTGCTTTTACCTCCTCCTTCCGTGCCTCATCATTTCTTGGAGGGATGGAGGCGATGGATGCGCACACCCGGCTACCTGTGAGGGGGAAGCTCCGGGAGCACGCCTCTTGTTATTAGCGAGAACTGAATCGCGCTCCTCGGCGCCACACAAAGGCACCGAAGTGGGTCTCTTTTTTTTGTATTTTTCTTTCCCTCTCTTGTTCTGTGTCTCTGTAGCCCACCCCTACCCCACTGCCTTCGTCTCCATGTCACTGTGTGCCAGCCAAACTTGTCTAATCAGCAGATTTGACCAAAATAATTGGCGGTGGCCTAGCTGCTAGCGAGCGGCGTGCTGTATACAGATAGGGAAGAGGAGCACTTAATATTCCATGCAGCCCGTGCCTCTCCTGTTCGCTGTGATATCTGACCTCTTTTGTCTCCTGCTCGGCTTAATGTTGATTTTTGGAGGGCATTGTTAGCCGGAGTGCCGTGATTGGAAGAAGTTGTCAGGGAAGGGGGTCCGTGGTTGGCTGGGTCTAAGGAAGGCTCATTTGCATAAAGGCTTAGCCCAGATTTGGAGCCACTCAGCGAGATCTGAGGAGAAGGGCCCGAGGGCCACGAGGTAATCATCCACGGCCTGTCACCGTACTGTCATCCCTCCGCGTGTCTGTGCGTCTGTCTGTGAGCCGGAGAGCACTGTGTCTGAACTCCTTTGTGTTTATTTGTATCCCTTTGCATTTTGTGGGCATCATGGGCGAGCATCGCCAACTCACACTTGCTGTCTTTCTTCCTTCCTTCTTTCTTTCTTTTTTTTTTCCCCAGGAAGGCTGGTCCGTGCCAAGCGGATGGTGGAGCCGGCCAATCCTGCAGAGCATGAATATATGGAGGGCAGCATTCCGATGGAGTGGGATGGTGAGTTTGGACCGGATCGTGTGTGCTGCATATTGTAACTACCCCTCACATGGATACATGACAGCGCTAACAAAGCAGCTATCCAGCAGAGTGCTCAAAGTGCTGCAGAAAATAAAATGGAATGACAGATTCGTGGCTGCATCTTCAGGGACCTTTGGATAATCCATTCATTTATCTGGTTCTTTTTTTCATCCTGCGGGACGGGCCGGGGGCTGTGAAGGAGTTTGTCAAAGATGCCTTCTGCCCGTGTTACACAACCGCACCAGAAAATAGACTTTCAGATTTCTTACAACTGGATACTAACTGTTCCTTGTGTCTCAGACTGGCTTTATCCACCTTAAACCCCTCATCCTGCTTCGCCCCATCCCTCATGCATTTTCATCAGGATGCAAATAAGCGAGGGATAAAAGAGGCCCAGAATCCCTACGCTAGCTGGGGGAAGAGTTACAAAATCTCTCTCCCTCTTTCTTTTCTTGCTCCCTTTAACCTGCTCTGCTGTGCAGCCAGCTCAGCCAAAATAGAGCTTGTTATACAGATAAAGAGACAGGCAGACATGGTTCCACACAGGAGGAAAAAGCGGGACAGAGGTATTGATGAGGAATGTTAGAGCATGTACTTTTAAATTTGAAGATCAGAAAAAAGATCCCCGGCGTCTCTACTGAGACTCGGCTCAGTGGCCCTGCTCTGCTTAGACCAAAGCAGCGCTAATGCTTTGAGTTTACCATTGGTATAGCTCTGCATGTTTCCCTGTAGTTTACTAAGTGACATGAAACAAAACAAACTAAAAATAACCAACCAGCGGGGCTTCTCACTGGTTACCCAGAGCTACTGGAGCGCCCTAAAACCCTGTGATGCTGGAGCTGCAGCCTTTAAATATGACTGCAGGTTTTGTTTGTGCAGCGTATGTTCACGTGGGTGTTCTCACTCTTCATCTTTTTCCTCTTCCAGCTTGGATCCGAGGCAGACGGAAAGAGCCCCCCTCCGTCGAGGTACGTCCGCCCCCCTAGCCCCCCGCTGCGCTGATGGTTGGACTCTGGGGGACTAGTTACAAGGGAGGGAAAAGAAGCGGAGACGGGAAAAGCAAAAGGCTTTGATTTGTTTTACGTTATGGTTTTCTAAGTGGATCCAGGAACTTTTGGGGACAGGTGCTAAAATAAACAGCAGCTAAAGCGCATTGACGGCAAGGCTGAGAGCAGAAACAGCCTCAGAACAAGGGGCTCACTGACACCATGTCCTAGTTTACTTTCTTTTCTCTCCAGCAGAAGCCGGCATCTCAGCTTTTTGTGTTTTATTTCTGGCAGACTCCGAGGTGGGAATGGTAAAGCCGTGCAGTTTTTTCCCCTTGTGTTCCTCTCACTGGGTTTATTGCTCTTTAAATGTGAGAATGCTGGAAATGATTTGGCTGCTAAAATGTGGGTCTATAGGAAATCCCTTGGAAGGCCAGTGCCCAGGCACTCTTTTCTATCTGCCTCTCCCTCCCTGTCCTCGGTCCATGCCAGTAGCCGGTGCCATCCCCTTCCGTCTTTGCCAGAACATTCTCTTCCAATTTTCTGCCTCGCGTCTGCCCAATAGCTGCCATCGACAGCTGGACGGTGTTGATGTGGCCAAGGCTCCACTCCCAGCACATTACCCTACCCCTTGTCATGCTCCCTCTCTTCCTGCTCCAAACCAACATAAATTGATTGGATTAAATCCTGTCATTAACAGGCTGGAAAAGCAGCTCAGTATGTTTGTCTCCCTCCTCCCCCCCCCCAAAAAAAGGGTTTTTTTGGCCACGGAACTCCCCTCTCTTTTCCAGTCCTTCAGTTTTGCCAGCACACAACAGCATTATGCCCATTCCTCCCTTCCTTTCTGGCTCCCAGAGCCAGGGCGGGGCTAACATCACTGGACAGTAGCTGCGGCTGAGCCGGGGGAACTGTTCCACCAGTTGACGGCTCAGTTTAGAACTCTTTTCATGAGTTGGAACGGTTGTTGGTTTTTCTAAATGCCTCCTATCCTGTTAGCGGAGCAGTCTGCCTCGTGTACAACATATTTAATCGGGGGTTTATTAAAAGCGTGTACTGTGGATTTACTGAAGGCGCTTGTTATTTTCCAAGTGAATGCTCTGCTTCATGCTTTAAAGATACACACATTTGTTCTTGGAAGCTGTTGAATACATCTACATGATTCGCCTCTAACTAGTGGGGAACAAATGCTCGGAGACGAGAGAGAGAGGAGGTTCAGTCATGATGGGGACTTATCACGGCTTTAGCAGGTTGGAGGTTCCAGCGAGTAATGATCGGGCCACGATCCATTTTTACTATTCTCCAGGGGACAGCTCGTAACATTTCTAACTGCAGAGACCTTTGTAGATCAGCAAATGTCAGGTAAGAGAGGGCTGTAGGGAAATGCATTTGCCATATTGTCAGTTCTGTGGTAGTTAGATGCTATTAAGCCTTATAGATAATGGCATTGAACCTTGATACAGTATTGATATAACAATAGTAATACATCGATGTGAATATCGATGTTTTACTACTGATAATATTTTTCTTTATATCGCCAATTTTCATACACGGCACGAGAATAGAAGCTTCATTTAGGTTCCTATTTCTTGCCTACCGTGGAGCTCTGTAACTCAATAGGACTGTAAACAATATTCCAGTCATTGTTTGTGTGCTTTATTTTGTGGCACACAATTTGACATCACAATTTTCCCAATGTGAACACATTTAACAAAAATGTGTAAGTCTTTGATTAGTTCATCCATCCATCAGTCCTCTCATACTAGCCTGGTCCTGGGTTTCATGATACTGGTTCTTCATATTTCTGTTGTCAATCATTGTATTAGATAACAATACTATTTGTGGTTCTTAATTATTTTGTGTCATAGTATTACACCACTAAACTGTGCTAAAATATCTTAAATGCAATGGTCTAATTTGGTTCCGATGCAGATACCCTGATATAACATGATCGTGCATCTCTATTGCACAGGAGCTAATGGAGAACGAATCACAGAGGGAGCAGATCAAAGTGAAGGCCAGGGAGGTGGAGGAGAAAGATCTGGCTCTACAGGCTAAAGAGTACATGGAAGGTCTGGTGGCAACTCCTGCAAAGACTGTGAGCCAGGGCCACGCAGCTGCCACCAGCTTTGGCAAGCAGGAGATCAGTGAGGAGCCAACCAGCACCGCCAACGCGTTTCAGCCTGGTTCCTGGATGCCCTCCTCCAAGAAATAGACTGAGACATCAACAGAGACTGAAACATCACTGCACTGTAACGCAATCCACCAAAAAGCCCCCAAAAAACACGTTGAGGTTTGGTATCTGAAACTCCTCTATGACTCAATCTGAGTCAACAACTTTTCTGCTTATCTAACCTCCTGCCAACAGTGATAATTGAATTATTAACAGAGGATAATTGAACTACAAAAACTTCAAATAATCATTGGTTCTTCTATGGCAGTAAGTTGTTTCACATCTTTTCTTTTCTAGATGCAGTTGCTCAGCTAAATGTACCTTTATCTTTTCTCTCAATGATTCAGCAGTTAGTGCTGCTCTCTGTCCGATAAACTTCTCGTGACTTGTATTTATTTGTAAATGTCCATTTTCTTTTTCATTTAAGTCTTCTGTTGAGCTGTGAATAAATGCCATCTGATTCATTGTTGAAGGTTTGGCTGAATGTTGCATCAGGAGAGCTTCTCATGAAATCCACGAAGACCAGATTTTCTTATCAATATTGGAAATTTTATTGGAAAATCATTTTGTTAGCTCGCAAATGACTGATTATTAAAAGCTCCAATATGCTCATTGCATCAAGTCAAATCAGCAGAACGGGGATGTTAGCATTGGAATGCAAGGTGTTGCAACAGCTGCACAATATCACAAAGTATTTGTAGTAACACACGATCACTGAGCTCTTGCTCACCAGGCAAGCCTCCTCTAGGCAGTACTGTCCATCTCAGAACGGTCAGGTGTGAGGGGCCTGCAGCCCTCCTCCTGGACATGAGGCATAGTGACCCTGTGTTGACGGTTGGAACTGGACAAGGAAGGGCACCATGTCACCACATGGAGTAAGGAGGGCAGTGGGTGCGATGACCTGTCATCCCTCGTTTTATGCCCTCATCCTACTCGCAAGCAGTTCAGTCTTTCTTGGTCCTTTTGGCCTTGGCTATGTTTTCCTGACGTTTCTGCTTTTTCTTCTGCTCGCGGTCGCGTGCCTCGATCATCTTGGCCAGTTTCCAGGACAGCAGCGCACTGGCAATGAAGAGAGGCGTGAGAGCCAGTATGACCGTGGTGAGGAAACCGTAGGGGTCTTTGGCAGCCCACTCCACCACGTACTCTGCCCATGCTCGCACGTCAATCATCCTGTTCAGTGAGGAACGGGCTAAGGCAAACCTGAGAGAGACGAGAAACTGCCCGGATCAGTCGGAGCTATAAAAAATAAAGATAAAAAGAGAGATAGAGACAATCTCAGCACAATGGACCACTTGGGATATTAGAGGGGGGTCAAGTAAGCAAATGAAATGTAACCTTAAATGTTATTGATGCAGGTCATATTTTTGTTATTGCCCAAACATTTTATTTCAACCAAGACTAAAGATGGCAAAAAGATTCTCGGGACAATGACTCATTTCATAACTAACAAGCAACAAAAAAAGAAAGTAATACAAAAAACAACTCTACAACAAAGTTACCCTGATCACAGACTGAATACTAACGATGACCAACTAGGTTCCTTCCATGATCTAAAATAAAACAGTATGTTAATCATTATAAAGTCATAACTGAGGTGTTACCGACCTGCTGACTATAATAAGTAAGCCGGTCCTTTCGTTTATAACACGGATGGACCGACCTTATTGCGACAGAGCATATTGCTTCTGGAATGAGGAAACAAAACATAACCTAAAAAGAGTGTAGTCAAACTTTACATCTTACGTTTTCCAAAATGTGTTACTGGTATTGAAGCAAACATTAGCTCAGGCTATCTTTAAATACTCCTAGTGGATCCAGTCTATCCTAAATGAGTTTTATAAAATCCCCAACCTTTAACGGAGATCACTCTTGTAAAAAATAAACTGATAAAAATAAATAAATCAATATTATCCCATTCCATTCAAACTGTTGCGCGTTTTTACCACCGTTCCTCTTCCTGCTAATGCATACAGGCTAGCTAGCATCAGCCCCCGTGTAGCTAGCGTTCACCGATGCTAAGACAACTACGAATTACCTTCTAGCGAAGCCCTTATTCTTGCAATTTTCGCGAACAAACTGAGATCATCTGCAATAACAAATGGTGTTTACCTTTTTTATGTGACTAAAAACGTACATACATTTCTGCTGCCTCTAGCTTACCTCTCCATCTGTAACGGCCTAACTTTCAGGAGTAAAACCACTGACTCTCGGTTTAAACAGGTTAAGAGTTTGCATCCTAAAATCAATGCCATATCAAATGGATGTTTCGTAACATCTAGTGAGGGTAAATAGATGCTATAAATAATACATAAACTTACCAAAGAGCAGAGATTTGTGTTTGTCTCCACGACAGTAACCAGCAGCTCCTCCCTGGTCCAGGAAGTACAACTGTATGAACTCATGAGGCATTCACTGAACCTAAACAAAATTGGAGAAAACGCAAGTCTTTTTTTTATTTAATTTGTTGTTGAAGTCAGGGCTCTCGCATGGCCGCAAGACTACCTGAATATGCACAGCATGGTAGGGACTAAATAGGTTACTGATTTTTTACATTTTATTTTTTTAGTCTGTGGCAATGATTGCTCTTACCGTTTTGTAATTTGCAAAGACTCCTTTTAGACACCAACGTACGTCGTTATTTAAAAAAAGATTTGCTGCAGTATTGCTTGTTTATTTAGGTTTAAGTCGATTCTCCCGAAACCATGGACGGGGACATATCAATAACTAACACGTGAATTTTGTTTTCCTCTGTTGTGAGAAAAACTACTGACGTTTACAAAAATATAACCTGAAAGCAACATCGTTCCTCTCACGTGATTGGATATGACACAACCCCTGACTATTGGTCAATGTAGTCCTTAATTTGTGAGACACTGTGAGAAAATATCAAATCCAACTGTTCTTGTGTTCTGTCCATTACATTTCCCCGCAACTGTGAAAATAAACCTGCTTAACAGTTCAAAATCCAGTGAAGTTTTACAAGCATACAGAACATTAGTTTGATGCAGCAGTGATAAAAGCTTCTAGAGATATTGATGTTCATCCGTTTTTCTAGTTTGCTTTATCCAATTCTGGAATGCAATGAGGATGCTGTCTCTCCCTTCTGCCTGCAGGCAAGAGTGGAATTCAGAAACTCAGCACAGAAAGCCACCAGTCGGGACTGGAACAAGAAAATCCCTGTGCTAATCATCACATCACGTGTAGCTCTTATTGATGCAATTTTACACCAAATAGTCTACGGCTCAAAAGAACACATCCAAGTCTACTTCACGTACTTTTAAACATTTTTAAAATGCTAATCACTTAAAATCAAATAAAACATTTATAATAATTGAAGCATTTGATGCAGCATGCTGATGACATGAGAATGAATAGATAGCTCCAGGATGAATGTAAAAAAAGAAAAGATAAAACACTTAACAATAACATAGCAATAGTAAAAGCTTTGGCACAATAAGATTTTGTCTTTACCCGATTTAGATTTAGCTGAGCCTGAAACTTATGACCATGCTATATTTTGAGAATAACACAGATGATAAGGCTACAACTGTGTACGGGGGGTGGGGGGGGGGGCAAAAAACGCTCCATTGGCCCTCTGAGAAAAATGACTAACATAACAAAGGAGGACCTGCTGGCTTTGTGAACTTCCTGTGGGGAAGTATTGAAACCAAATCAGGTTAGGCCACATCTGCTCCGTCCATACGGCATGGATCACTTTCAGCGTGGTTCAAAGGCCAGCCTTTTAGACTTACTCACAGAGGAAGGAGAGGGGCAGCTGGGAACATTTGCAGTGTGCAGACACATTGCAAACGCAAATTCGGTTTTACCAGCATAGTTCTGGCCAAGTTTTATGGACAATTAAAACAAACATCCCCAGTATGGTGACTTTTTTGTTGTGTTTTTGTTTAATCATTTGCTTCTGGTGTGTCTCTCATGGGAGATGCAGGGGGTGGTGGATGAAACCACACCCTAACCCCTGATTTCTCCCACACGAGTGGGGGCCTCTGCCACAGACAGGGTAGGGGAAGTAGCTGCACCACAAGTTTATAGTTAGCAAGCCCCGTTGGTTCGTTTGTAAGAGTTGTTAGAAAAATGTACGGTTTGGCCAGACATGGAGGAATTTTCAGAGACACAGTTAATGAGGCACCAAAAATCAAGTCTCACTTCCTTTAAACTAGACGAGGAGCCATTAGGAAATATCAGCGGATCATACATACCTGGATCTAGAGCCTGTGTTGTTAACTTTGAACTATATCTAAGATGGCTGACTGGGTCATGGACCTCTTGCAGCTGGAGAAATCCAAACCTCTTTTAAACAGCTATCAGCTGAATAAACTCAACCTAACTTGCTCTCAAGCTTGTTTTCTAAGACCCTCCCAACACATGTGTGTTCTCTAAGGCTGAATAGTTGACCTAGTATACATCTGTAAAATCAGGAGGTGAGAAACTTTTAAATCAAGGTAAATAAAGAGAGAGTTTATGCGTTTTAATGGCAGGCTTGATTAAATGTACCTCGACTACTGCAGTGAGGCGGCTAACAGCTAATCTTCACAGAGGACAAGCATGACTGGCTTCATATCTCCATGTTCCTCCACTCCTCCCATGGCCTTTATGCCTCTGACAGCTGAAAGTCCTTTAAACCTAAGCCTCAAAAACAACCATCAAGTGGTTATTGAAGAAGCAGGAGCCCGGGGTGGTAGCTCTGGCTCCAAAGGAAAAAGTCAGTTTTCTTGCCCCCTTTTACCCCTGTGGGAAACTACGAGGCCGCCCCTGGATTAAGTCCCCGCCTTTAAACTCAAATAAGAAGGAAACTTCAAAGTCTGTCGGCCGCCGGGGCTCCGCCCTCGCGCTCCCGAACGGCTTCACAAAGGATTTGCCGACGTTCGGGAATTCCGCCTCCAGTTCCTTTTATAGCGCCACTCGTGCGCTGGCCGCGTTCCAGGATCCCGCCCCTCCCCGTTACTTTGACAACACAAAGGACTTCACGGAACTTGCAAGCTCCGCCCACTTTACCAAATAAGGCCAGCCTCTCCATGTACGGCAAACAATCGGGCGAGATTGCCCTTTTCTCTTCCTTATCCCGTTTATATGATCGGAGAGGAACTGCGCTTCAGGTTGGAAGCGGTGCGAACATGGCCGAGCGAGTCCAGCAGCCCTCAGCCAAGCGGCTCTGCTGCCGGCCCGGCTACAACCCGGCGTGCAGGCAGGGGCAGCGGGCTGGCGGAGTCCTGTGTGGCGGCGCGGGGTCCGCTCCGGGAGGGTCGGGAAGCGGAAAAACACACAACCCCGAGTCGCTGCTCGACATCGCGGCGCGGAGAGTGGCGGAAAAGTGGCCGTTCCAGAGGGTGGAGGAGCGGTTCGAGAGGATCCCGGAGCCCGTCCAGCGGAGGATCGTATACTGGTCGTTCCCGAGAAGCGAGAAGGAGATCTGTATGTATTCCTCTTTCAACGCCGGGGGAGAGGAAAGTGGAACTAGCGGGGACAATAATGACGAGACCCAGCTGCCTTTCCTACGGGGTGTCACTCTGCTGGAGGATGGCTGGGTGGACAACGTATTGCAAGTCGGTGAGTGGGTTTAAAAGGTTCAAAATATTGCTGCGGAACAGCGCTCGTGCTATTTTCATTTTCCGTGGAGACACGGCAGTCTCATAAAGGGCTCGCGCTTGCCTCCCATAGCCCTGTCTATGATAAACAATGCAGGCTATTGCCACACCAGTCTACCCTATAGACGTGAGAGAATAGCCTATTTTCAGATAAGCCCGTAATAGTAGCCCACTTCTGCTTGTTTTTACCCACTGAGCTGTGTACATTGAATGGCCCAGAGCAATTCCAATTGGAAGCTTAGTACTTTGTTCCTATTTTTGTGTCTTTCCAGCTCTTCATGCCCCCACCAATGGGTACGCAGACAAAAGCCCCCTATATCTTTTCACCGCTGGCTAAATAGACGATATTTAGAAAGGGTGGGAGGGACGGTGATTTAAAGCCACAGTGCTTCTGTTTTGTTTGCCAAACACCTTTGTGAGACACACTGGAGCTTTTCTGCCTGCCTTCCCAACATTCACTTGAAGCTCAACTATATGCACCTGGTAGAGACAAAGATGTATTTGGGTCTCACCGCTGCATTATTTGTGGTATGGCGTGCTCCGGGCTCAGCTACCCCCTGCTTTCCTCTCTGCCTGGCTGCCTGTCTTTTGCCAGAGCCACAATATTTCACTGCATTCGTCAGTGCAATAGACTCAGCTGTCAATCCGACTCCCCACCCTTGGAAAGGGTTCAGGATTCTAATCCCATTACCCTCCCCAGTTCATCTGAATCTTAATGCATTCTGCAAACAAGATTTTATGCATGATCTTCCTCCTCCCTCCCTCCCTCCCTCCCTCCCTCACCCTCTCAATCTCTCTCCCTTGTTCCCTCGTCCTCACTCACTTCTTGGCTTACTATCCCCCCCAAAGAATCTGTGTGGAGATGGCTTCAGCTCTTGTGGGCTCAGAGAATGTGCAGTGCACAATAGTAGCCATGGAGCAGGCAGACAGGCAGGCAGCTCTCACTCCCTCTTTGGCCTGTTTACCAGATTCCCCAGCATTGGACTCATTTATGTGCTCACTCTTTCGGGGGCTTCAGGAGGCTAAACACTCAGCCCGAGGTGGAATAAAAAAAAAAAAAGTATGAGGCATCAGCGAGCAGAAATGCATGCGTGTAGGCTTTAGAAAATAGCAACAAAGAACAACGGGGTCATTTTTTTTTTTTCTGTGGCTATTTGTGTTTGGTTTGTTTCTGCTGTGTGAAAGAGTATGTGTGTCAGTGTGTGTTTGGGAGAAGGGGGGGGGGTTGATAAGCACAGAGGGGATTGTACATGCGTGTCTGTGTGGCTCTTCGTCTGCATGGGCTGTCAGTCTCATCCCGCATGCTCACAGAGAGTGGAGAATGACAGGCGAGTACACAGCAGGAGGAGGGCATGTTATGCTGATTGCAATTTTTGCCCTAGAATGTTTTTTTTTTTTTTTTCAGTTGGAAAGATAAAGCCAAGGAAGAGCAAATGATAAATAAAAGATGCAATCTACTCCAGGGGACAGGCAGCCACTGGAGGATGAGGACTTAAAAGCAGGGCAGCTTGGGAGGGGGCTGTCAGCCACATCACACAGCACATGTATTGGCCCATCAAACACATACAGTGGGTCTGGTCTGAAAAAAAAAAACACAAAAAAAAAAAGAAAAGTGCTGAGGGATCGGGAGGGTGTTTATGTGTGCGCACACACGTGTGCGCGGCTCCGTGTGGCTTCTTCTGTGTGTTTGCGCTGTCGCTGTTATGGGATGCAGTGTTGATGATGAAAGACAGTAGCGCAATAGAATAGATGAGGAGGTTATTGTGTATGGGGAGGAAAGCTAATATACTTGAATGGATCTGCTGTCGCTGTACTCCTCTCCTTCCCCTCCCCTCTCCTCTGTCTCCTTCTCTCCCAAGTGAGCAGCTATAAAACTCTCCATATTTACTCCCCTAAGGCCAACTACCAGCCCCCAGTCTCCTGTGATTATTTATCTTTTTTCTCAAAGACATTAATCACTCGCCTTTTTTCTTCCATCTCCTTCCATACAGCAGGAGGAAAAGGGATAGGGGGATGGCATTTTAGGGTAAGAGCAATAGATCGGGTGATATCACGAAAAAGAGGGGATGCCTAGAGGGAGAATGTGGGTGGAAAATGCAAAAGAGGGCAAAGGCATTGAAATGGTGATTGCAAGTGAAGGGGATGTATGAAAGTAAAGAATGAAGCTCAGAAATGGGGAGAGAGTGAGATGGATGGCTTCTTCTTTCTCCCATGCGAGCTCATCTGTTCCAATGCCAGCCTTCAGGATAAATATTCATATATGTGTGCTGGTGTTATGGAGCGGCGTGCTGCTCATCGGTTATAGCGGGCTTATACGAGGCAGCCCCGGCCTCCCGGCACACTCCTCACCCCCCCCACTCCTCCACCTGCCCAGCAGGTAGCGGAACACAGCTAATCTCACACCGCCGGGAAAGTTTCTGTGCGCCACAACGTCTCGAGAACTTTAGAGGAGTCAAACGTGCAGGCTGCTTTTGCAGAACAGCTCCAGAATGTTGCCACAGAAACGATATTGTGATCCCAGAAACCGCTTTGTTGGGTTTCGCTTTCCCTCAGCTGACCGGTGGGGCCCTGCCCCGTGCCGGCTGAGCATCATTTACCGGAATCAAAAACTTCCAGAGCAGCCTTTTTTTCTCTGCTTTTTTTTTTCCTGATCGAAGCATCTGTTCTCTGGTCCCTTTGTGTAATTTAGACTCAGCAGCTCATCACGCTGAAAGGAAGGCTAGCATTACGGAGCCCCGTCCTCTAATTATAGAATTCTAATCCTATGGTTCTAACATGGCATGACAAAGCATGTTTGCACTTCATTACCCTCCTTCCTGTTTTAGGCCCCCAGTCTGGGTCAAGTTCATCCCCTCTCCTCTCTTTTATTCAGAGCATGGACGGCCCCCTCTCCTCCTCCTTTTGAGCCCCCATCTCCTTATTTCTAACCCCTCCCACCTTTTTTTTTTTTACCCCGCAGGCTTTTTGTGCTTCAGGTTAAAAAAAACAAAAACATCAACAACATAACACCCACCCGTGCACACACCACCTCACTTTTACTATCCTGTTACCATAAGCCCCATGTCCCCGAGGAGAGACATACTGATGCCTGGCATATGTCGCTCTCTCCACTATGATTAGCATAGGCTACATGCTTCAGCCTATTTATCCAGTTCTCCTTGTTAGGCCTTTTTTTTTTCTTCTTCTTCTTCACATGTCATTTTTATCACGGCCCTATCCCAAATCACAGTAACGAGCCGGCCACTTTGGGGCTGCTTTAAATTACACCGGAATGAAAGCAGATACTCTATCCCGCAAACTATTTTGGTGGATTTTCCATGCCGGTGGTGCTGGACTAGATAGGCCGGGACGCTTTCGCCTTTTCCGCCGCCTAGAATATCGCTGGACGTCCGCGGCAGTCACGCCTGTTTGAGTGTGAATGTCAGCCTCCTCTGCGCAGCTTATTCCAGAGGCAGGCCGGTGTGTGTGTGTGTCTGTGTGTGTGTACGGGCGTGTGAACGCGCGAGTCTCCTCTGTTGCGTCTGCATGCTCATAACTCAGGTTAATTTGTTCATGCTCTGGAGATTCTTAATTAGGTTCCGGCGTCATCTACTCTCTCTCACCCCAGTTTTTTCTTTTTTTTTGTGTGTGTGTGTGCGTCTCACTGTCAATCAGACGGTGATCGAGGCATCAAGGGTTGTGGTACCCCGTTTCTTTCTAGGGGCCCAATCTTCAAAACGCATACGGGGGGAAAACCAAGAAGCTAAAACCTAGCTCCTTAAAAGAGAGGCCGTGGATGGGCTTGTCATTTTGGGGATGGCTTACAGTACGTGCCTGGCATTCGGGCAGAGCTGCGGCGGCATGTGCGCGTTTGTACAACAAGTCGACACACTGACAACGCCGCGAAACAAAGGGGCCCGATAAAACAAAGACTATTTGCACACACTAGGAGGTTATTGTTTGCGCTACAAAGCAGCGAGCCAAATGCCAAGGAGAAATCTGTGCCACTTGCAAAGTTGAAGCAACACTGTGCCTGTTTGTGCAAGAACACACTCACTCACACAGTCACACACACAGATACATACACACATTTTCCTTCACCGGGGCCATTCAAAGAGACTTGTTGGGGTCCAAAATCTTCAAGCATGTTGTCCATGAAGGCGCAGACACTGAGATGTGAAACATTAATCTTGCACTAGCATGTTGTCAGCAAGACGCAGCAAGGCCCCACAGTTTTTTTGATGGGTGAGGGCTTATTCTTTTTGTTTGTGTGTGGGCTGTTTCTTTTTCTTTTTTTTTTTTGTTGGTGGATCTGGTTTTATTT